CCAGAAGGTTGAGAACCACTGGCCTAAACACTCACAGGTTGTGGTCCTGTGTCCCTGTTCTCTGGGACAACCCTTCCACTTCGGGCATCCCCTTCTGCCGCTCTATGGAAGCGAGCAGAGGCTTAAGTGAATGAAGATGAGGACTGCTACCCGGGGGTCGCCCACCCCAGCCTTACATGGCTCCACCTTTAGGTCACTCCGAGAAACATATCTTCTCCCAGTTCTGTTACCCTGGGAACAAGATCACACGTGACCTGCTCTGATCTGCCTTCTGCGCCCTTGGACACGTGAATGTGTACACTAGTAAGAGTAGGAAGGCGTGGCTCAGTGGTTGAACGAGGCGGTCACGGTTCCATTCCCAGCCAGGGCACATGCCCGGGTTGTGGGCTCGATTCCCAGTGTGGGGCGTGCAGGAGGCAGCCGATCAGAGATTCTCTCTCATCATTGATGACTCTCTCTCTCTCTCTCCCTCTCCCTTCCTCTCTGAAATATATATATATATATATATATTTTAAAAAAGAGTAGGAATGCTTTTGAAAAGATCATGCAACTGATTACTGGCTTTGCATTTAAGACTTTCTCCTGGGTTCATCTGCAGAGCAGTCCTCCTGCCGTCTGACCTTGAAGGGGAAGCCAAGAGCCAGGGCTTGTTTCTGGAAAGAGAAAGAGCCACCTGCAGCTGCAGGCCTCCCAGCATGGCCTGGGATGCCAGATGCTGCATGGAGGGACAGACAGCTCCTCCCTCCCTTTCATCCGAGACTGCCCTTGGCTCACACGCTCCACTGCAGAGCGGCGCCCTGGGGCCTGCTGTAGAGGCGGGCTGTGCGGGACCCGGGCGTCTCAGAACCCCAACCTTCTCCCGGCGCTGGGAGGGGCACCCAGAGGTTTCAAAGGGAATATTTTATTTTGGTTAAATTAGCCTGAATCTAAACTGAAATCTGTCAGTACCCAAGTTGTACAGATTAATTGCAAATCTAGATTTAGCACCAGGAGGCTTTATTCTCCCGCCGCCTTTTACCCAGTCGTGTTGAGCAAGAGCGTGGGGTGCGGGAGGACCGGTCCAGGCCCGTGTGGTCCATGGTGCATCTGAGCTGAGCCCTCCAGCTTTGTTCAGTGAATTGAGCCCTTTTAACATCATCTCTAGCGTTGGTTTTCACGAGGAGATTTGAGAGCAGGGAGGAGGCTCCCGTCTAGGCATTCCGAAAGGAAGATGGGGCCGAGTTATTTTCCCAACCACGTCTTTGACTTGCAATGTCTGCTCTATAGAGAATATACTGCTCAGGGCCGAAGGGGACAGTGAGGTCTCGAATGAGCGCCAGCACTTAGACAGGACTTGAACAGGAAGACAAAAGGACGCTATGAAAGGCGTGCGCTCCCAGGGCCTCCGTCCCAGAACTTGCTCGGGCCGAGATGGCACCAGGTGAGTGAGTTGGGGACGTCACAATGGGCGATTCATCCTCCAGGCCCTCACGGCTCACGCTTGGCTCCTAAACTCTTTGCATTCTGGGGCGACTCCAAGAGTTTTGCCTATGCTGGGCCTACGGGCTCAGCCTGAGACAGCCGTTTCTCGGAGATGCTGCTAAGCGGCTGCTTCTGCATAAGCTGCCACAGAGCCCTGCTCAGAGGGAGCAGGCTATAGTGAGGGCTTGGTGGGCCCCTCTGCCCCCTTCCCTCCAGAGTCCCCGGCATCTCTGAGACCTGGGGCTGAGGTCTCCACTGCGTCTACAGGAGTTGGCCCTACTTTGTTCAGAGAAGGAAGAGAGCGCACAGAAGGCAAGCAGGTCTGCCTTATTCAGTCAGGAGTCTGATGTCACTGCAGAAAGCCTCGGTCCCTGTGTGAAGGTGGCATCCACGGAATTCCCGTAACTGGGTGAAGCCACGGACAGACGTGCGTTTGTGACTGCACCACACACACACACACACACACACACACACACACACACACACACACGCTGTAGGTCTAAGTCAGACAGGCACTCCGCTGAATACACCCCCCAGGCATCCACCCACAAACTGCGGAAACAGAGTTCTCCCAGGCGACCCACACACAGCCTGTGTGCATCAGGGTGGAGAGCAGGAAGTGACCCCACCGAAATTTAAACGTCGTAAGACTTGACCTGTATGTATATGTGTGTATTTTAATTAGTTTTATTGATTTCAGAGAGGAAGGGAGAGGGAGGGGGTTAGAAATATCAATGATGAGAGAGGATCATGGATCGGCTGCCTCCTGCACACCCGCTACTGGAGATTGAGCACACAACCCGGGCATGTGCCCTGACTGGGAATTGAACTGTGACTTCCTGGTTCATTGGTGGATGCTCAACCACTGAGCCACGCCGGCCATACCCGGGCTGCGGGCTTGATCCCCAGTGTGGGCCATGCAAGAGGCAGCTGATCAATGATTCTCTCTCATCGTTGATGTTTATCTCTCTCTCTCTCCCTCTCCCTTTCTCTCTGAAGTCAATAAAAATGTATATATTTTTAAGAAAGCATGTCTGCCCCTGGCATGTTTTAAGTTGCCATCTAAAATTTCCAACATAATTTTAAAACAGTTGCCAGTGATGCCATTTTCAGAATGTAGTAAATAGTGACATTAAAGATACATTATTTCTTTAATGTATCTAATGAACTTTAAATACCAGAAAATTTAATACAGCATCTATTAAACACATGAACAAGTCCTTAAACAATTTTACATGGTTTTTTTTCTTCTTGAATTTATATTTTCATTCCAGTTACCCAACTGAGTTTTATCCTTATGTGTTATATTTCTATGCATGAAAGCCTTTTATTGGCCACTCTGTCATAATTTACTATGACAAAAGTATGTATGAAGATCTAAATTTAATTTTTAATGTCCAATAACCATAAGTTTCTAGATGTTAAAAGCTTTTGGATTGAGTTATCATTACAATTATTAGTAATATACAGAAATAGGCAGTGGATCAACATAGTGCGCATATATGCCAACGTTTGATGAATATGAGAGATTACAAGTATAATATTTCCAACACTTCATGTATTTATTAATAAATATTATTTATTGCTAAAGTAAGAAAGGTTCCAGATCAATTCTATTTCTTTCTCATTTTTATAAATATCAGAAATGAGAAGTGTTATTCACAAGAGACAAATAGGCGAGAAAGGAACGCGTTTTGTTACTGAAACGTGACTCAGTTCTTGAAACTATTATCTAGATACTTGCCTAAAATCTCATACGGCTCTCTTGCCAAAATTCCTCTTTAATCTTCTCTCAGCTGATAATTCTTTTGGATCAGTTGTTTGAAAAGAACTGGAAACGACCCGACTGCACAACCATTTATTCCCCAGCCGCCAGAGACATTTAATTTCAACAACTGTCCCCATATTTCACGGCGTTTATCTGTACTCTAGGTTTTCTCTCCTGAGATTGAGAATGAATGAGAGAGTGGTCTTTCCTTTTGAGGGTGGCAGGTAGGGGTGTGTGTGTGTGTGTGTGTGCGCACGCGTGCGCGCACGCGCATACAAATGCAATTGAGAAAGAAGATTGCTGGCCCACAGGGGTTCTCCGTTTTAGAAAACACACCCACACTATAAATTCTCCTCAGTGGGAGAATGACAGCCAGTCCATACCCGTCTCACGTATGTGCGCTCATCGAAGTTTACACCCGCTCACTCGATTCCTCCCTCCTTGTGAAGGGGGAGGTTTCAACGTGGCACACGGACTCTGGATCGTGTCTGTAACCATCCGGCGGGGCAAACGCAAGAACCAGTGGGGAGGAATCTGTTCTTTCCAATTTTGTATTAAGAGAAACGTTCCTAAATTCCCGACTTCGGTTTTTTAAAACAAGAACCCGGGTACAATAGAACATTCTACTAGCTTCGATCACAAACGTACCTTTCTTTCAAAAACGTCGTCTTTGCACAGAACGTAAATAAATTAAGTCCACTGTGTTCTCTTTATTCATCGAGAGGGTTTTTCCCTTTTATTGTTTTTAAATTTACAAATGTGATACATGATCAAGATAAAATTTTGAAATATGCATAAAGAAATATGAGGGGTGTTGTTTTGTTTTGTTTTTAAATCAGGGCTCACCATCACCCCCCTTTCTAGAGGAAACCACTGGTGTAATGTGATGCTATCTTTCTGGACCTTTTCCTGTGCGCTTATAGAGTGATACATTATTGCCAGGGATACGTTATTTGCTTGTGTGCACGTATTTTTACATGAATGAAAATGCCGATACAGATTTTGGATGTCTGGAGTTTTCATGTCACATCTCCTAGGCATATTCCCCATCACCACACGATACTCCTTTTAACTACCGCATCTACATTTAGTGACAACGTGTTGCCCTCACAAACAATGAAATCACCATCTTCAACCAAGGATTCTTGCTTCCAGGAGGAAGTATTTTTGTAAGACTCTTAGAAATGAAATCGCTGGTTCAGAGGCCACTTACATCCCCAGTGTGGGCAGATTCTGCCAAAGGTCCCTCGGAAAAGGCCGCCTTAACCTGAGCAGCGGCATTAGAAAGTCACCCTTTCCGCACACCCTCTCCAGCACCAGATAGTATCTATCGGTCTTTTCCATTTTCCTCACGTGACATTAAAAATAATGTGTCTCTTTGTTGCTGCGATTGGCATCTCTTCATGTGTCCGTGGCCATTTGTAGCTTTTTTTGTGGGTTGTCTGCTCTCACTCTTACCTCATTTTTCCACTGGGTTGCTTTCTTAAACTAATTTAAAGGACCGCTTTATAATACATGGGTTGTAATTCTCTGTCTGTTATATGTATATATTGCAGATATTTTCTCTGTCATGTGTCTTTTAGCTATGTTTATTTTGTATTGTTGCCATGCAAAAAAGTATTTACTTTTACAAGTTGTATCTCTAAGTCCTAGTCTTTATGGCTTCTTCAACATGTGTCTTATTTAGGAAGGTCTTCCTCTCCTAAAGTTATACAAATACTTTTCTTGAGTTTTCTTCTAATATTATTATTGTTTTTTTTTTTATGTTTAGCTCTTTAATCCATCTGGAAATGATTTTTGTATATGGTGTGAGGTAGGTATCTACGTGTACTTTTTCAATGAACAGTTCATTGTCCCAATGCTTTGCTTACTAACCCATCATTTCATATATTTGATGCCAATAGTTACCCATGGGTCTGCTTCTAGACTCTATTTTGTTCCATTTATCAACGGAATTTGTCTGTTCCTACGCCTATAACACAGTGTACGCATTGCTGTAGTTTGATAATATGTTCTGCTATCTGACCAAGCAAGTATCCCTTGTTGTTCTATTTCAAGTGTATCCTAGTTTTTACCAGGCATTTGCTCCTCTAGACGGCTTTTGCGATCATTGTGTCAATCCCCACACATCATTCCATTGGGGCTTTTATTTGGATTGTGTTGAATTTTTAGATTAATTTGAGTGAGGCCTGGGAGATTTAGGAGATGTATGATACTGAGTCTTCCTATCCCAGGAAAAGACATGTCTCTCTAATTGTGTAAGCCTTCTTTTATGTTTTTCAATACTTCTCTTTAGCTAGACCTTCTATATTTTCTGCTAAGGTTTAAGCCTAGGAATTTTAAATGTCCTGTTGCTATTGTTACAAACAATCTCATTTTCTACTGAATTGTGAAGTAAGTCCTTGCTACCAGTGTATATGAGAATGGTTTCATTTTTGGATGTTCATTTTACTCCTGGGTAGCTTACTAAAGCATCTCATTGTTCTGATTGCTTTTTAATGAATCGTCTTGAACAGTCATATCATATGCAGACAAAGGCAGTTTTGACTCTGCCTTTAAAAAAATATATATATATATATAATTTATTGATTTCAAAGAGGAAGGGAGAGGGAGAGAGAGATCAAAACATCAATGATGAGAGAGAATCATTGATCGGCTGCCTCCTGCACGCCCCCTACTGGGAATCAAGCCCACAACCCAGGCATGTGCCCCTGACCCCATGGAACCTGGGACCCTTCAGTCCACAGGCCGATGCTCTATCCACTGAGCCAAACCGACTAGGGCTTGACTCTGCCTTTTAAATATTCTACCTTGTTTTAATTCTGCTTTATCACATTGGCTAGTACCTCACCCGAACAGTGTTGATAAAATCAGTGGTAGATGATACCTGTATGGTTCTAATGTGTCATTAGTAAATATGATCTTTAGTGTGTTACAAAGAGGACATGACCTTCTATTAGTAATGAGCTAGAGCTTTGAATCAGGAAAGGTGTTGGAAAAGGATAGTTTTTCTCCTTTTACTTTAGTAAATTAAACAGATATTTTTTAAAAAGACCGAGGCATTCTTTTATTTCTAGTACATAAAACGTGTTGAGTTATAATGTGGAATTATTGTAACCTATTGCTGATTCAATAAGATACTATTTTATTCAGGTTTTGAGACTATGTTCATAACAGAGATGTTTTACACATATGTAGATAAGTTACCTAGACAGTGTCTGTATTCATATGTTAAAGGCTGCTTGCTAAGCTTCATTGATTGGGTCAGCAGGGAATTCAAGCCAGAGTGTGGCTGGGGCAGTTTCTTTTTACTTCCTGTTTTGGTTTTGGTTTGGAAAAGTATCAATAGGATAGAAAACTTTAGTAGAACTCACCCATAAGACCAACTGGTCCTGGTACATATTTTTAATGCATTGCTTCTTTTTTTACTACAATTGTCATTGGTTTTGTATTTAAGTTTTTATTTTTCTTAACTTTTTAAAAATTAATATTTTCGAGTATTAACTCAATCATGGCATCTATACTTCAAATTTTATTGTTGCAATGTTCTTAACATTTTTTCATTGTGTCCTTTGTGTCCGTATTAACCTTGCAAAAGGTTTATATTACTTTTGAAAGAACTAGCAATTGATTATGTAGATACTCTAGTAGTCTGCTTCCCTCTGCCCTTTTGATTGTTTATTTGATTTGTTTTGTACTAATTCCTCATTATATCTTTATTATTTATTTTTTCTTGCTTTCTATAAATTTGCCTTGTATATCTTTGCTACCTTTTTAAAATAGAATTCTTATTTAATTAAAATCTACTTTAAATTATTTTAGAAATAAGTGCTTAAGTGCTATAAGTTTTTCCCCAAAATTACTTTAGCAATATTTCATAGCTCTCAATTAATAGGACTGTAATTATTATTATGACAGTTTTAAATTTTATTTTCAATTGTTTTCTTTACCAAATGGTACTCTTTCTAATCGACCAAAGAGAACCTTTTAGAAATTAACCTTTTGTTCTTCATTCCTAGTGTATTTTATTTGGTACAGTAAATGTTTCTTACTTTTAGTTTATTTACCTTTTTTCCCCCTTGGCATTTTAGATTTCCTTTGAGGTATAACATAGTGATTGGTGTTTGTAAATGATTTTTAGATAATTGAGAATAACATGCAACCTCTTAGGGGTCCTGAAGACACTCACATCTAACAGTGACAACTCCTTATTTGTATTTTAAAAACGCATCTCCACTTACGTTGTCTTCCTGATCTGTTAATTTGTGGAAGAGTGTTTTATTTTCCCATCCTAATTATAGGTGTCAGTTCCCTTTTATTTATAACCTGTTTTACTCTTTATACATTTTTGTTGCTATCTTAATTGGACCATAAAACTTTATAATTATCATAATGGTGAATTTACCATCTTTAAATATGCTATAAATCACTTTGTTGCCATATAGTTCTTAGCATCCTGAAATTTTTCATATATATATTTAATTTCAATATATTATCTATTTAATATATGTTACCATGTACATGGAATAGTCTATAGTCAAAATATATTCATATTTTCTTTTATTGTTTCTCATATTTTTGCATTCTTTCATCTTTAATATTTTCTGATATTTCCTTTTAGATATGCCTTTTATAAAGAACATGCATTTGATTTTTAATATACTTTTTTCTTGCTTAACAGATAGTATTTGTACTTACTGTCTATAGTGACATTCCTTAAACTTTTTTATTTTGTGCTTTCTACTCACCATTATCCCATTCCTTTGTGTACTGATTTTGTTATTAATTAGGGGTTTTTTGGTTCTATTTTCCTAAAACTGATTTTGAAGCTATATGTTCTATATCTATTCTTCTAGAAGCTACTTTAAAATTATAGCAAGCTCATTTAAATGTAAGTCATTATAATCAACAGCTGATGACTGTCTATGAGCTCCCTTTCCGTCCCTTGTAAGGACAAAGACTTTATCAGGCTTTTAATTATCTCTCTACCTCATTTTCTATGCAGTTATGGCTGAAATTATCTAGAAGTTTCATTCCAAATAAGTATTGCTAATAGTGGCAGTGGTAACACTGTTAGCATTATTAGTATTATTATTTACTTTATGGCTTTGTTTAATAGAAGCCTTTATTAGTAGTTGCACCCCATTTTGCTACCAAATTAGCAGCCATTACTTAGATTTAAATTGCATTTGTGTGGCTTATTTGTTTTGCACTGTTTGTTGTTTCCCAAATCAGTGTATATTCTAACATCTCTTTTCTGTTTTCCTGTAGTACAGCCTCAATTAATTTTTGCTTCTTCATTTCCTGTAAAGGCTGTGAGGGGTCAAGTTTCTGAGTCTTGGCTTGTCTGAGAGCTCCATCACCTTCTGTCTTTACACTTGATACGGAGCTGTCTTGATTATAAAATCCCAGGCCGAAAACAACTTCTGCAAATCCATATCATCGTTTATCTTCTCAATTACTTCAAGTGGGCCAGGCAAACGTGATTTCTCTTTGGAGAAGCGAGATTGCCCATCTCCCCCATAAGTCATCCTTCCTTAAATGCTCATTATTAGGATTCCTCCAACCGGTCTAGGCTGGCAGCGACTCTTCTGATGAATAGTTCATCAGGAATTCACAGAGAGCTCTTTCTATCGGCGGTAATCCGTTTCCTAACAACAAATCCCATGTATCAGCCGGAAGTTCCCATCGCTGGGGCTGCCTTTACTAATGATGCACTCAGTCCCCGAGTTCTACAACAGCTGTGACTGTTACTTCACTCATGCTGATGCCAGCAACCTGCGGGGTGAGGGTCCCCCTAATGTTTTTCCCAGAGGCACCCCAATTTCAGTCCCATCCTCTTGCCCTGGACTCTCAGATCCGTAGCCCCACCCCCACCCCATGGCTGATGTCCTCCTCGGGCGGTTTTGAGTTTCCCCTCACTGGCCTGTGAGCTCTTGCTGAGACCTGCTGTGCCTTCTCTTGTGGCCCCGTGATTTCTCGTTAGCATGTGGTCTTCCATGCTTTTGAACTTCTCCGTCCCCTTCCCTGGAAACACGGAGTCCTAGGTCGTGGTGAGAGAACTTCAGGGTGGTCGTGTGGAAATGAAAGGCACATTAGATGCACAGGGGCCACATTGTGTCTTAACCACCTTGGCCACGGAGTCGAACCCGAGGCCTGCAGACACTCCGATACCTGATGCCTCGCTCAGTGACTCTGGACTCCCTCTCACGGTTAGGTGCCCCGTAGCCCCAGATCCTGACTCCGTCTCTCCTCCAGAAATCATCTGCGATCTCTCCTTACCCTCCAGCCAGGGGCCTTTCGTCCCCGGAGGTGTGCCCTCTCATGGCTCCTCTAGCCACCTCCGCTGCTGCAGGTCTCCTCTCGTAGGGTCTGCGCTGGCCTCCGAGACAAGTTGTGCGAAGGGGTGTCTGTCTTAGGATAAAATGCATCGGGTGCCTCTCCTCTTCGTGGGAAGCGTGCAGGGAGACGGGGCTGACTCTGGCCGCCGGCTCACCTCTGTGCGCCTCTGTCTCCACCCCTGCCAGGTCGGAGGTCACACCATGCTCCCCATCCGCTGGATGCCCCCCGAGAGCATCATGTACCGGAAGTTCACCACGGAGAGCGATGTGTGGAGCTTCGGGGTTATCCTCTGGGAGATCTTCACCTATGGCAAGCAGCCCTGGTTCCAGCTCTCCAACACGGAGGTACAGGGGCCTCGGGG